GCGGCCACTGCACTCCAGTCTGGGCGTCAGAGTGAGACTCCAACTCAAAAAAAAAAAAACTAAAAAACTGGTCTGTTTAGGTCCTGCTTTCTGGAATGTTGGCTCAAGGTGGAGTCTGCACATACTTTTGTCGGCTGTGTCTGCATATATGTGGTATGTATCTGGGAGTGAGGTTTTTCTATCCCATCCGGAAGGTTTGGGGAGCACTGTGGGCTTTTTTTCACCAGGGTGTGGGCTCCTTGGAGCATAAGGACTGTCTCTTGGGGACACTTCCACTGGTATACCTGATTCCTCTGGAGGCCAACAGTTGGGTTGACCGTGGCTCTGCAAGCCCCTTATCCTGGTGTCTGCCTTGTTCCCCTCAGGGCAGTGAGGCAGCAAGTGTGAAGGTGGCACTGCAGGCAACCTGGTCTTGGGAGCACAGCTTCCTTTTCTGCTGGATTGGCAAGTGGGCTAGGCGTCAGGGAGAGCCTCCTGTGCATGGGTGCCCTTGGCTCCCTGGGTGTGGGCAGGAGTCCTTGTCTATTAAAAGGCAGAGGTGGCCTTGTGGTTGTAGTAGTGCCAGAAGCTATAAATAGCTGAGTGTATGAAGAAGCAAAAGCAGGGTGGAGGGAGGAATGGGGGGAGGCCCCTGGGTGTGGTATGGGAGGGGCACAGAATGTCACTTGGTGTGATTTGATGGGCTGGGGGCCATACTGGAGTCTTGTGTTGTGAGGGATTGTAGTAGGCAGCAGGGGTATGACTGTAATACAATAGGTCAAATGTCAGGCATTGTCCTAACCTCTTAAGTGTAGTAACTCATTTAATTCTTACAACTACCCTGGGTGGCAGATTTTCCTTTCTCACACAGGATCACACAGAGTAGGATTCCGGTCTGGCCAGCTTAGGGCTCAAGCCTGCCATTTTGCTGGGTTGCCTGTAGGAGAATCTGGTTGGGCGGGAGTCATGTGGCATCCTAAACCCTTGGGTCCTATCTAGAGCCTTTAAATTTGGAGCTCCCAACCCTCTCTACTTGGGTCCTGCCCATGGTGGTGGCCAGAGGGATTCCAGAATGATCAGTGGCCTAGAGGTAGAAGCTGAGCTAGCTTCAGGTAGCTCTCTCTTGGCCTGCCTTGTTTGAACTCTTCACTTTGCACAGGGGCTTGTGCGTGTTGTCTGAATGGAGATGGAAACTCTCCTGAGGCCCTAGGGCTTGAGTTGCAGGCTCAGGCCATCCCTCCTTGTTGTCCACTCCTTTTGAAGTCTTGCTCTAGCCATGATACTTCTGTCAGTCCATCCATCCATCCATCCAGTATGTGTCTGGAACACTTCTGTTACTCCAGACAGTCCAGAGTCCTTCCTTTATCAACTTATCAGTCTTGGGAGAGCCTGACATTTAGAAAGCAGTTGTCAAGCACGTGTGCAACGTAGTTCTTGTACGAATGTATGCTGTGCTAATATTGTTATTTCCTCTTGGGGATTATTTTTGGTTATGTTGTCAGTATACTTCTTGGTGTCTGAAGTATTCCTTGAAATAGCAACAGGCAGTTAGTCCAGATTAGTAAGTTAGGTGACAGGGGAAGTATAAGGGCCAGTGGAGTAGAGTTTACCTGGTGTCAGGGGAAAGTAAGAGGAAATCCAGAGAAAGTGAGGAGGCTTCTTGCAGCCAGAGTGGTAACTTGTGCTAAGCCCAGACACTGAGCACATTCGAGGGCTGACAGTGTGGTGTTTCTGCAGTGTGGGGAGGAGGGCGGGGTAGCGCCCAGCTCCCTGTCTTTAACCCAACTTCAAGGCTGGCCCTACAAGTCTCAGGTCTCTAGACTGAGACCGGCACCCCCCCCCCCCACTCCCCCGCACCCTAGAATTGCTGCTGTGGCAGAAGGAGGCCTTGGGTACTCTGGACTGGGTGCTTTGTGTAGTCCCGCCACCAGATGCTGCTGCAGGCAGGCAGGGGCCTACAGGCGTTCATTGTAGGTGCCAGCCCGGGTCCTGGCCTTGGTGTGCTTGCTCGGCCTTTGGCTTTCTACTCCCAACCCTGTCCCCTCAGGCTCCCTGCTAAACCTTAAACCTATGCTTGGTGAAGGGCCTGGCTAGGAGGAACCACTCGATGGATTCTGAGGCCCTTCCTTAGAACCAGGTTGAGAGTCTCAGCTGTCTGGCTGGTCAGGAGGCCATACTGTTTCCTTCTACAAGTGTCAGGGTGTAGTCCCCATGGCACAGGATGAATGACCATAGCTGTGGCTGTGCATTGCCATTCTGATTGGGTGACATTTTGACCCCCTGGGCCCTACTTGCCTTCTTGAGATTTGCTGCTTGCCCCTGGCCAGGTCCCCCCTGGAGGAAGCCTCCTATCACTGTAGGGAGATGCAGAAGGGGCTGGGTCTGACCAAAGAATGGCCACTCCTGTGCTGGATGCTTCTACCAGATAGCCAAGCGGTATCCTTCTCCCTGGTATGTACCCTGGGAAATCAAATTCTGTGCTCATGAAGGCCTCTGGTGGGGACAGGGCGGAGAGGAAGAAAGTCCTTGGGCTCTGCTGGAATTCAGGGCACTTGCTCGCCCCCAGTGTCGGGGCACGTCCACTCTCCTTGCTGCTGTAGCCAGCCTTTCGGGCTGATGGGGATGTAGGGCTCTTGGCTGCTGACTGACTGGTTGTCCTTTTGTAGGACTGACTCTAACCCACTCCCTCCTTCCTGGGGTAGGAATGATGGTGGGGGAGGATAGCCAAGGTGGTGCCAGGTCACTACTCCACAGTGGGCCCTAGAAGTGTGGAAATCATGGGCAAATGCTGGATGCTGGTTTCCTTGGGTGTTTTCGCGGTGTTCTGGCAGTGAGATGGTAAATGCCACCACCTCCCTCCATTATGGGTGTCCTGTAAGGCGGCGATGGCAGGGAACTCTCAGGCAAAACCTCCTTTGGCATCACCATACTCTTTCCGATCACAGGACTCTGGAGTTCCCGGGGGGGGGGGGGTGGTGGGCAGTGGGTGCAGGTTGGGACTGGCATTGGGGGTTGTTTCATAGGGGATAGTGAGGAAGATGAATTTGGGAAATGTTTGAGACCATGCTTGAAAGTGTTTGTCTGCCTGGATGGTAATTCTGGCAGAGTTTGGAAGGGGCTTCAGTAGTGATGGGGAGTCCCTGTGGCCATCAGGAGCCCCACCCAACCGGGGGGATGATCTATGTTTGCAGCTCAGCCACCAGCTAGCCCTCCTCTGCTGCGGCAGATCTTCCCCTTGATGATACAGGAAGACCTGACTCCTCACCTTCTCCAGCCCTGCTGAACTGTGATTGCAGGGTGTGAAAGGGACAATGGAGGTTCCTTGCTTCCTGTCCAGTCTGGGAGTTGTGGAGGCTCCACCAGCAGGGTCTTCCCAGGGGACTGTGGTGAGCAGGGAGCAGGCAGACAGGAGCAGCAGAAGCCACCTCCTTTGTAGTTCCTCCAAAGTGGTCCCTGAGATCTGTATCACAGTCACCTGGTTAAAAACACATCCTGTTCCTATTCCCATTGAATAGGTCTGCTGAGTCTGGAAATATGTGTTTTTAGTTAACACTGCTCTCTTCACCCCACACATAATGATTCTGATGTGGACAGGGGTTTTGGGGACCCCTTCATTAATTTTTTTCTGCTTCAAGGAGTAGCCCCGCCCCTACCCAGGAGCCTCAGGTGTTGTTGGCATCGTTTTTTTTTGCATTGGACCCTTTAACTGACAGGCTGTTTGTCCATTGTTATGTGGCATTAGGTTTCCTGCCTCCTCCCTCTTGCTTGGGCCTAGGGGCAGCTGCAGTGGGAAGAATGAGGTGGGGGCTGGTGCTAGCTGGCACACAGTAAAGCTAAGAGGTGTTGGTGACCAGCAGCAAGGGCATCCCCACCCACCACCCAGCCTCCCTCCCTCAGGGAGTCCTGGCACTCAGGTCTGGGATTTGGGTCAACAGCCCTTGGGTGTGCTCAGTGGTTCTCTCCTCTGGGGCACAGGTTCTGGTCGTGGGGAGGCTGAGACGCGGGAGTGCATCTACTACAACGCCAACTGGGAGCTGGAGCGCACCAACCAGAGCGGCCTAGAGCGCTGCGAGGGTGAGCAGGACAAGCGGTTGCACTGCTACGCCTCGTGGCGCAACAGCTCCGGCACCATCGAGCTCGTCAAGAAGGGCTGCTGGCTGGATGACTTCAACTGCTATGACAGGTACCCAGGCATGCCCTCCCCTCTTCTTGGGCCCCCTGCACACTGGGTCCTGTGGGTCTCGGGGTATCTGAGCAGGAGGAGAATGACAAGAAAGGGGCTACTGAAGTATGCCCAGAGCCCCAAACCTTTCCACAACCTGTTTACCCTGCCCAGCCTTGAGGAGGGGCCTCAGTGAGTGTTGACCCCTGGCTGTCCCTCCTCAGTTTTGGGTCCACATTACAGGGGAGGTGGGCTCACACAGCACCCCAGATATTGCCCATGAGGCGCTCTGTCTATGGGGAGGGCATTGGTTGGGCAGGCCCGGGAGAATCTAGCATCCCCGAGGTGAGGAGTGTATGGAAAACTCTGTGCCTCCAGGCAGGAGTGTGTAGCCACCGAGGAGAACCCCCAGGTGTACTTCTGCTGCTGTGAAGGCAACTTCTGCAACGAGCGCTTCACCCACTTGCCAGAGGCTGGGGGCCCAGAAGGTGAGAGGACCGGTGGGAAGAGGGGCCTGGACCTAGCAGACCTGGGCCCCTCCTTGGCCTGGAGCTCTTGTTCCTGAGTTGGGTGTGGAGTGGCTGCAGGGCCCTCTCGCCTGGCTCTGGAGGTATAGGGGTGGGCGGGCTGTGTGACGCAGGGCTCCGTGTGTCTCCCAGTCACGTACGAGCCACCCCCGACAGCCCCTACTCTGCTCACGGTGCTGGCCTACTCGCTGCTACCAATTGGGGGCCTTTCCCTCATTGTCCTGCTGGCCTTCTGGATGTACCGACATCGCAAGCCCCCCTATGGCCATGTGGATGTCCACGAGGTAAGATGGTGCTGGCTTGGGGTGGGGTGAAGTGGGGAAAGGCCAGGCCAGACCTTATTAAGCACTTGCTCTTTCAGGACCCTGGGCCTCCACCCCCGTCCCCTTTGGTGGGCCTAAAGCCACTGCAGTTGCTGGAGATTAAGGCCCGGGGACGCTTTGGCTGTGTCTGGAAGGCCCAGCTCATGAACGACTTTGTGGCTGTCAAGATCTTCCCACTCCAGGTGTGTGTTTGAGGGACTCCAAGTCATCTACCCTCACTGTGACTTGAGCCCTAGGGTGGTCCAAGGCCTGCCTATGTGGTGGAAGGAGAGCAGTGAGCTGCACTGGGAATGGTGTTGGCTGATCTGTGGATTTCACGCAGTAGTGACATTGTATCGTAGGACTAGGGCAGTGCTTTGTAAAACCTTGATTTACCCTCCTTTCCAGGGTTTTGCTTTTGACATCAGGTGCTATCAGAGGCCCTGGACACCAGACCTGGCTCTGCCTCTCATTTGTTACTTACTCCCCACTTCTGGACCTGAGTGACCTCAAGTGTAAATCAGTATGCTGGCCTGAGTTGGCCTAATGTTCCACGGCTTGGCTCAATCCAGGTCTTCTCCTGAGCCTCTTACATATGCGGAGCCTGGGAGGCCAGGGGCTGGGGAATGGGGTAAGCTGGCCTGCAGGGCAGTGTGGCTGCAGTAGGACTGAGCTGCCTCCCTTCTCAGGACAAGCAGTCGTGGCAGAGCGAGCGGGAGATCTTCAGCACACCCGGCATGAAGCACGAGAACCTGCTGCAGTTCATTGCCGCCGAGAAGCGAGGCTCCAACCTCGAAGTGGAGCTGTGGCTCATCACAGCCTTCCATGACAAGGTAAGCCACGCCGGGCAGAATGGGCTCTGAGAGGAGGGGGGATGGTTCCCTCAGTATCCTTTAAAACAAGGGTGCCCCTTGTGGTGTCTGTGATGAGGCGACCCCTGCCATAGGTGCCCCTGTAATAACCTCTCACTCTGAGGTAAATTCTTATGATAAGAGTAGTGACTTTGTGATTACCACCCCTTGACCCCCACCCCCTCCTGGCCTTGTCTGTCTTCTATATTGATTATAGCCTCCCAGGAGAGGAACCCAGCCATTGGCCAACTGAGATATCCCTTCTAGGGCTGTGCTGGGGGCCTGTCCTATACCGAGAGCCTGTGCTCAAGTTCTGTGCTCCCTTCTCTTAGGGCTCCCTCACGGATTACCTCAAGGGGAACATCATCACATGGAACGAACTGTGTCATGTGGCAGAGACAATGTCACGAGGCCTCTCGTACCTGCACGAGGATGTGCCCTGGTGCCGTGGTGAGGGCCACAAGCCGTCTATTGCTCACAGGTACTTTGGACTGCAGGTGCCTTCCTGAATCTGGTCTGGAGCTGCAGTGAGAGTTGGTGGGAGAGAGCAGGATCTGGGGATGTCTCGACATCCTAAACACTTAGTTTGCCTGCAGTGTGTCAGAGGCAAACGGGCACAAAACCTGGCCTTCCTCCTGTGTCCTTGGGATAGACTGGCCTCCCAAGTTGGTTTTTGGTGCCCTCTAATGGCCACATGAAGTGCTGACTCGGTGACTTTCACTGAACTTTTGTATTAAGTGGATTATGTCTGTTGATGCTTGCTGTATCAGTGTGCACATTCGTCCCATTAACTGTCAGGGTGATGACATCACATGTTATGTAGCCTCTGGAAAGCTCCTCTCTATACACCTGGGAGAATGGGTTTTAGAAAGGCAAATAATGGATTTTTATAAAAATAATTTTGGGCTTGCAGGTCCCTTTGAAACAGTCTCAGGGACTTTCAGGGGACCTCGAACCACACTTTAAGAAACACCACATTAACTTACGACTTTCATGTTTACTAAGTGGCAGATACTGTCCTTAGCATTTGCAAAGTACCAATTCATTGAACCCTTATTAACGCCCTGTAAGATAAGTACTGTTTTTCTCAGCCCTGTCTTACAGACAAAGGGACAGTAGTGCAGGGAAGTTGAGTAACTTAGCCAGGGTCCTGCCGCTAGTCTGGTTCTGTGACTGAGAGAGGGGGGAATGAACCTCAGATTCCAAGATGTAAAGCTGAAGGGTTCCTAATGGTAATGACAAAGTAAATTGACTATATGAAATTGCCATTTTTGTAGGTCAAAAAGACTGAATGTTGACTCTTCCTTATGGCTCAGTTTAGCATAACAGTAGTGTATAGTAGGTGTGCCAAGTGTGGCCCTAAGCAGTTTGCATTTATCACTCCATTGAATCCTCGCAACTAGACTGAGATAGGCACTGGGGAAATTGAAGACCAAAGTAGCTTTGCTTAGTAAGAGGTGGAGCTGGGTGCGTGTCTCAGCAACCTGTTGCACTCTGCTTTCGTGATGAGCTTGGAACATCAGCAGGATCCTAGGCAAGCTCATATTAGATTCCTGTTTTCATTCACTTTCCAAATAATTTAAGATCTTCCCAGGAAGCTTGCAGTGTGTCAGTGTGCCTGTCCCCAACCCCTCTGAGAACGGGAGATGGGACCTGAGAAAACCCAAAGTTATTTTTTGGAGGGTGGGCCCCTTGTCATACAGGCTTCCCTTACTAGGTAAGCTTTCTAGGAACCCATCAACATCAGTGTACCAGGTAGTGTTGTTGCGCGAGGCTGCATTTGGCTTCAGTTAATTGTTTTTGGAGATTCTTCTAGTGCATCTGCCCATTTCATGATGGGTGATTTACGAGTGCACCTGCCCATACCATACTGAGTGTTCAGCAATTTTTGACCAAAAAATGGCATGACCTCTGTGCCTCACCCTCCCTATTCACCTGATCTCACCCTGAGCAACCTTTTTTGTTTCCCCCGATGAAAAAAGTCCTCAAGGGGAAACATTTTACTTATGTGGAAGAGGTGAAACAAAAAATGGCAGAAGCACTAAAAGGCACCAGCATTGATGAGTTCAGAAACTGTTTTGAGCAGTGGAAAAAAGTCTTTACTAGGTGTATTGCATCAAATGGAGAGTACTTTGAAGGTGACTGAAGTTTAAGTAAGAGGAAATGTACAATTTTTTATAAATAAATTCTGGGTTTTGGGGGGTTCCCCCTCACATATGGGTTAGATAGGCTTTAATGCTGTGGGGACTAGGACAGGGTCTGACCAGCCATTGGCATAGGTGTTACTTTGCCAACCCTGGTGGAGGGCTTCCATCCAAAGTTAGTGAGCGATTCCCTCCACACCTGCTTGGGCCCTGCAACTATTTGCCTGTGCAGCTTCACCTCTGCACCTTGGTGCAGACCCCATACCCCAGTTGGAGTGGGAGGGCCTGTCTGGGAGCTCTAGTACTTGGTGGGAACCAAGGTGGAAGTTGAATGTGATGTTCAGGAGCATGTTGGGTTCAGCTTCATCTCAGCCCACTTGTGTCCACAGGGACTTTAAAAGCAAGAATGTATTGCTGAAGAGCGACCTCACAGCTGTGCTGGCAGACTTTGGCTTGGCCGTTCGGTTTGAGCCAGGGAAACCTCCAGGGGACACCCATGGGCAGGTAATAAGACTCACTAGGTGGTAGAAGGGAGGGGCTGGCCCAGGGTGGGCACTTTGTCCTTCTCATGTTCAGCTGGCAAGGTGTGGGGTGAGGGTCACTGCGTGAGTTCAGAGCTGTCTGAGAACTCAGAGAACAATGCTATTTTCTTACTAGTGGTGAAATCTAGGCAGTGTGGCTTCCCTAGGCCAGTCACCTGAGACATGTAGAGATTCCCCATTGGAGTTTTGACTATTTGTCCTTGTAGTCTTCGTTGTTTTCTCTTTGTCTGTCAAATTAAGAAATAAAACAGAAAGCAATGTACTAAGAATCCAAACCACGAACCTAGAAAATGTTACTAAAAATGAAACTTGCACATCAATTTTCCATAATCACTGTTAGTATTTTTAAATGTCTCCTTCCTCCTTTGTTTTGGGTCTAAGTAAAATATACATCACCCGTGTAGTTCCTTATAGTATTATTTGGTAGCAATTCCACTTTAGATTACTGTTATCTCAAGTGTGTGATATTTTAAAATGATCATTGAATGATTTATGCTGTGACCTGTCGTAACTACTGAGAATGTGGTAAGTAGAGGCTTATCGTCATTGTATCTGGCTCTGATTGCAACGTCTGGCCCCTGGGTGGACACAGGATGCAGCTCTTGTGCCTGGCTATGTCAGCATTTGTGCAGGGTCAGCCACTGTAAACCCTGCCCCCCTCTGTCCTCATGTAGGTGGGCACAAGACGGTACATGGCCCCTGAGGTGCTTGAGGGAGCCATCAACTTCCAGAGAGACGCCTTTCTGCGCATTGACATGTATGCCATGGGGCTGGTGCTGTGGGAGCTCGTGTCTCGCTGCAAGGCCGCAGATGGTGAGTGGGACAGCAGCTCTGGGTGGGTGGGGATGGGGAGCAGTGGGACCACGGATGATTCTGCCGGGCTCTCTCCCACCCCTAGGACCTGTGGATGAGTATATGCTGCCCTTTGAGGAAGAGATTGGCCAGCATCCTTCGCTGGAGGAGCTGCAGGAAGTGGTCGTGCACAAGAAGATGAGGCCCACTATTAAGGATCACTGGCTAAAGCATGCGGTAAGGGGCCTGGGTACAAGTGACTCTGCCCAGGAGTGGAGAAGAGAACCCTCCACATGTGGCTGGCAGGAAACTGAGATCAAGGGGAAGGGGCAAAGAGAAAGCAGCTGCATTCCTTGGACTCCAGGGAGATGTCCTGGGGCTGTGGGGAGTAAGGTCAGATGATGCCCTCCTCCTGGTCCCCACTGTTACTGAATCGCTACATTTTGGGCCCTGGTATGGTTTGAGTTTTGAATAAGATTTTTGTCTGAATGTCATTACTTTAAGGCAAGTCTCTTTGTCTGCCCTAGGAGGGACCGGGGTGTCCCCTCCCCACCTCCTATGTATATTGAGGTTTGGTGAACTCTTCCTGGGGCTGTAGAGAGAGGCTAGTAAGCTCAGGACAGTGACTGCCAGTAATGCAGGCATCCTGATTCCTGAAATTTTCCCCAGGCCCCTGCTAGTGGACCCTGCTGCTGTGGTTGGGGCTGGTAGGCTCTGATCCTTGGGAACATCAAGTTTGCTGTCCCCCAAGCTTGTTCTCATTCAGGGCCCTCACAAAGGTCTTTCCTCTCTCCCCCACTCTGTGCAGGGCCTGGCCCAGCTCTGTGTGACCATCGAGGAGTGCTGGGACCACGACGCAGAGGCCCGCCTGTCCGCAGGTTGCGTGGAGGAGCGGGTGTCCCTGATCCGGAGGTCGGTCAACGGCACTACCTCGGACTGTCTTGTCTCCCTGGTGACCTCTGTCACCAACGTGGACCTGCCCCCTAAAGAGTCAAGCATCTAAGCCCAGGACACAGGGGTCTCTCCAGACTCAGCGGATCTGAAGAGAAAAGGAAAGAAAAGTTGTGTTTTGTTTTGGAAATCCCATAAAACCAACAAACACATAAAATGCAGCTGCTATTTTACCTTGACTTTTTATTATTATTATAATTATTATAATTATTATTATTAATATTATTTTTTGGATTGGATCAGTTTTTACCAGCATCTTGCTCTACTGTATCGCAAACAGCGGACGTATCAGCAGGCGTTGAGGTGCTGAGCTGTGAATGCAGAACCAGCGCCATGCTGAAGAGCCTCAGCCACCTCCTGTACTTTGGGATTCATTTTTCCCGTGTTCTCTTTGTTTGTTGTGTCAGAATCTGTGACACAAAGAAACCCATCTCCTGTCTTAGGAAACCTAATGCTGCAAACTACCTAGAGGAACCTTTGAAGACTGTTACATAAGAACATATCTTCCTCAAAAGAGGAGTTTCCTCTCCCCTCTGCCCTCCTGCCCCTCCCTCCCTCCCTCCCCTCCTTTTATTTTGTTTTAGTGAGCTTAAGAAACAGCAGATGCGTCTTTCACGGATCTAACGGGTTTTGTCCTGACCGAGAAAAAAACTGGGATGAGGATGGTTTGGACCGGAGTTGGGAGGGGAGGACAGTGCTGGGGGTAGGACTTGGAACAGAGCTACACTGGACTTGGGCACATTTGGAGCAACATCCTTTGCTATGGAGGCTACTTCTCAGGTAACCAGGAATTGAGGGGAAGGACCTTGTGAAGGCCGAGCATTAACGGCAAGAGCGGGGTTTGGAGAAAGTCTGAGATCAGGGGCAGCCCTGACCCACCTGCTGGCCCTGGCCAGTTCTTCCCACTAACTTGGCCCTGGGCATGGGATGAAACATTTTTTTCTGCCCTAATTTTAAGATTAGGTGAGGGTAGAAATCCTCACAGTTGAGTGAACACTTTCTTCATAAGACATAATGTTGTAAATACTTTTAATGGAGGAAAAGTTGAAATACTTTGTTTCCTCTTGGAGCAGTTCAGGGAAATGCCCACATGAGGGTGCCCTACACAAGTTGGGCGAGAGGATTTCCTGGGTGGAGTCCGCCAAGACCTTCCTTGCTGGGGCCCTAAGAGTCGTGCAGCTCTGATTCTGCCCCATGTAGTGACTTGACTGTCTTCTTTCTGTGGCTCGTGGACACAACTTTCTCCAGACCCCTTAAAGTGGTGCATATTCTAAAAAACTTTTCCTCTTATGCCATAACCTTGCTCTAGTCAGTGAATGTTCCTAATGCTGCTGTTTCAACATTTGATTTTTTTTTTTAATTTATGAAACATGCTAATTTTTGTTTTCAGACAAAACACACACACACATGTCCACATATACACATGCTTTGCTATGTGGCTTCCGAGGTTTAAATTTTGAAAAGTAAAATAGTTAAAACTTCACGACCACAGATCACCTCAAACCAGAAATACCTCAGAATTTTCTACTTGTGTAAGTTTTATTATATATTTTGTTAGTTGTGTTGTCTTGTAGTAAGTATATTTTAATGTAAGTTGGCTTTTATGACAAGGAAGTTTAAAAGAAATAGAGAAAAAGAAGAAAGTTTTTGTCTTCTAGGGAGTGCTACCATTTTTGTTTGATAATGCCCCCGTGTAAATAATTGTCATCAGCTGTAGGTTGGCTGTCTCAGCCAAGTTTGAGCATTCATCAGTCTTGTTTGTGAAGGCTTTTCCTTCTGGTTTCTTTAGATCATTTTATTTAAAAACCATATATCTCTTAATCGTGAGGGTAGATGAGTTGGAAGCCATGGGGAGAGGTTGACTTGGATGAGGGCTGAAGAGACTGCCTCCTCTTGGGTTGTTTGGGTTTTCAGATGTTTCTCATAACTTGATTGATCGGTGTTCAGAATGACAAGTCACCCCAATCTGACTTGGTAGAACTGTGGCCCTTAGACCTGCATGAGGTGATTTTTCTTGAGATTTAACTTCTTCAGCAAATTGATAACAGTGTTGGAAGAGGTCCGAGGCACTTCTGGAGCTACACTGTTATGGGGCGCCTGTCTGTTGGTGCAGCATGCTTGGAGGGGTCTCAGCCTTGTCCATCTTGTCTGCGGTGCAAGGGCGCTGCACACACCTTGGGTGTCGGTGCCCTACTTGGCATGCTGTGTGCAGCGTCTGGGGTCTGCTGTGTGGGATGTCCTTTCCTCTGGGTATTTGGGCACAGCGTGCTGTGGGAGGCCAGTCTGTTTCCCTCTCAGAGCTCAGTTTTTGCTTCATGGGTCAAAATGTGGGCTGGCCAAGTGGTTTCGCGACAGGATTTTTGTTTTGGTAAGCTATATTGTCTTCTTTTCTTTCTTTCTTTCTTTTTTTTTTTAACTATTTGATTTTGTGCTGTGGTATTTTTTTCCCTTGAAATAATTTTTAATAGCAAAACAGGCCTTACAGCAGTTGCTTTTCTTTTCCATTTATTTTTTCAAGAAGCTTTAAAATATTTATTGAAAAGTGCCATATCTAATTTCTGTAGCCTTCTCCTCAGGCATTGTGGGCATCTCTACTTTTCATCCTCAGAAGAAACAATAAACCACTAACAAATGTAGCAAATTGACTGCAGGAATAATCAGATCATGATCCTACCCAGTGCCAGATACTAAACCCCAGCCTCTCCGTTTGGTTTTAGATTTCTTCTGGGTGGTTTTTCTTTTGTGTGCTGGCTTGATTCTTGTGAGAAGCTTTGACCTGGCCGAGGGAGGGTTGAGGCATGGCTCAAGTTTGGGACCTTGCAGTCAGGACACAGTATAGACAGGACAGGCCTGCATGTCTTTTGTCTAGATGACTCTCTCTTAGCCAACCCTGCAACCAGCAGCTGCAGCATCCCTGTGGCGCCCTGTCATCAGAATGACATACCAAGAGATGGCACCTGTTTGGTGTGGCCTGGGAGAAGGGAGAGTCTAGGTGGAGGTGTGTGCCAGTTCTTTGGGCTTCAGACTGCCTTCTCCTCTCAGGCTGGGGTGTAAAATGTACCCAGCAGGTGATCTTCCAGGACTTGGCTCTGGGAGCCTGGGTGGGCCTTTTGTCTTACATAAAATGTTTGTTTGCTGTCTCGTGCTCTTTGAAGAGTGAGCCACCTACAGCCCTGGTTTGTGTTTACTGGACCACAGAGCCTCTGCCTGTGTTCTCCATGGAGACTTCATGTGATACCCACTTCTGGGGAGTTCAGATGATTGCTACTTAAAAAAAAAAAAAAAAAAAACCCAAGCTCTATGGAAGACTGGGGGGAAGGGGTGTCCTGGCATAATTTTCCCTGCCCGTGGGAGGGGCTGTTCCATCCAGTCGGTTGGGGGTCCAGGTCATGGAGAGGAGTAGCCAAGGATCTTTGCTGCTGCTTTCTAGTGTGCTGTCATCCAGACTGGCTCCTGGCTGTGGGGGTGGGCCTTGGAGGAGAATGTTGTTTGAAAACTTTTGGGACAACTGGGAAGTCATCCCTAGCTAGAGAAATCCAGGAATGAGCAAAAGGAGGAAGCAAGTAAGGATAGAGGCCTTTGTGTTATACTGTCCTGCAGAGGGCTCTCAATAGTGGGGCATCAGGGGAGGCTGTGGACATATCATCAGAGCATCCTGGCCTGGCATGAACTGGATTTTCTCCTGGGACCAGTGGTCCCTAGCAAGAGTCCTTTGAAAGAGTTGCTCGGGGACAAGGGCTGCAGATGGGCCATTCTTGGGAGAAAGTCCACCTGGCTGTGAGGGGAAATGGTGAGCCTCTGTTGTGCATCATGGCTTCCCAGACCTATCAGCTCTGTATATAGGCCCAGGGGACCAGTCCTGCCTAGGGAGAACTTACCCATGGGTGCCAGCTGATTCTGACTCTGAATCCCTCCTGTTCAGACTTGGGGTTGTTTGTGGAGAACAAGAAGGACATTGTCCAGCCTTGAATATCTTCAGGAGATTAAAGCCTCCTGCTCACATATTCTTATCAAGGGAAGGATCTGTCATCTCCAGGCCATCAAGATAGTTCTTCCATTGTTCTAAGAGGCTAGAACAATCCTCTTGACATAACTTAATGCTTTAGAAGGCAAAGCACTTGAACCTGCAGCCCACATGTGCTCTGTCGCCTTTCTCTCCAGTTGGTCATGTTCTTGTTCCGCCATGCTGCTGCTCTTCCCTGGGTGCTCAGGCTGCTGTCTATGGGGTTTTTTTCTTGGTGGCAAGCCCAGCTATGTGTTGAATGTCCTTCTTGTGCTGTGTGTGGCTCAGAGGAACTGTCATGCAGACCCTGTTCTCTGAGCCATCAGGATGGGTAAGTGGCTGTCCATCAGAAGGGGAGGGCTGGATGGCCCTCTTGCAAGCAGGGTTTTACCTGTTTTAGGATGCAGTATAAAGTTCCTAGCACCCATAGGCAATATAAGGCTTTCCTGGTTTTTAATATAATATGGTAAGCACAGTATGTTAAGTTTTCAGAATTGGTACTAGAAGTTGAATAGCCAGTCATGATTCTCAAAAACTTGACTTACTAGAAAAATATGTAAGTTGGGAAGCAGTTTCTAGGAGTTAACTCAGTTTGACCTTCAGTCCCAGTCATTTCAGCCTTGGGCTTTTGATGGCACACCTCTAGAGAGATGGCTAGGCCTGGTTCACGTTTCAGGGGCATCAGACCCAAAACTTTTCAGGAAGAGCCGTGAATCTATTCATCTACTCTCCATCCTGGGAAGCAGCCAGAAAGGGAAGAGGACAAGGTGGGTTTATTCTCCTCACCGGGGTGACATTAATTCTCTTTGATCAGTTGCTGTTTGCAAAAGCTAAACTAATAAAATACTCAGCAGCTAACGTGTTCAACCTAGTAATGAGTTTGTCTCAACTGACAGTAATATTTTAGATAAACAGGCCCAGTAATTCAGATGATGAACTTATATCTTCTAGATTTGTAAACGTTTAATGAATTCAGGGTTGTATGCATAGTTCTTTAAGATTCCAGGTGGTTGATTTGTAACCAGCAGTCTACCTATGAATGTACCCCAGACCTTTAGAAGGTTTGGAAAAGTTCTTGGAATGATGATTTAGTTTTGTAGAAAAATAAATTGAAGTTTAAAGCACCCTCTTGAAAATTAATTCAGTTGGCCCAACTAC